GTCACTTTCTACATTTGTGATGGACATAAAAGCACTTTCTATCCCCATGAGGATTAAATGAGAAACACAGGTAGGGATTTAGCACATCCTCCTTGTTTATATAAAGTCACTTCCCAGATGAGCAGCTTGTCCAGGCCTCAGGAATATTGGTGGCCCATTTCTTTAAAGGCTCCGTCCTGAAGGAAGGTGCGGGACTTAGCTGGGCAGGAAAAATGGAGACCAAGCTGACTCCACCCAGACCTGTGTGCCGGTGCCTAGCACAGTACCTGGTGCAAATAAGTGTTCAAGAAATAGTTGCTGAATGAATGAATGAATGAGTGAATGAATGAATGAATGAATCAATCAATCAATCACCAATGTGCCTACTCAGAGCTCCCATCAAGTGTACTCACAAATTGCCAGCTTTAAAAAGCCACACGCTCCAGAGCCAGAGTTCGCCCGCGCTGCCCCCAGGACCATGCCAGGACTCCTGCAGGCTTCGGCCATTGCCACGATCTGAAAGGAGAGATGGGGAAGCCTACACCAGATGGGGCTCCTTTAGAAAATCAAACCTAAAGCCCTGCTTAGTAATTCCCAGCTCTGGGTTCAGGCACTTGCTTTGAGACACCGATCACAAGAGACTTTAAGGCTATTCCTCAGTTTCTTTCCAAAGGGCCTTAATTAAAAACACATTTCTGTATCCCAAAAGCACTCCAGCCAGATCTGCGGCTCCCCAAAAGTTGGAAGAAACTGTCACAGGGCCACGAAGGTTCCGGTACAATGAGTGGCTGTAGGGGAGTCCCAGCGTCCCGGGCCATGGCCCCTTGACAGTGAGGATGTGGATCTCCCTGGGATTCTCTGACCTGGCTCTGAAGAGCAAGCAGGACTAGCAGAATCCCAAAGAAAAATAAGGAAAACACACAGTTGTGACCGGCCTTCTGCTTTTATAACAATAAACACTTTTATCATTTGCTATTCCAGGTCTCTGCATTCTAGCCCTCCTAAGAATCTGTCAGAATGAGGACACTGTCACCAATTGTTAGCTGATGACACAGAGGCTCAGAGAGATTAAGGAATCACCCAAAGACACACAGTGAGGGTGTTGGATGGACTCTCCAAGCACAAGTTTGCTGCAGTGCTCCCAGGGGCTTCCTCTCTTCAAATCCTGGATCCGGATGAAAGGCCCTTCTGACCCTATGTGCATCCACATCGTGAGAATAAAAGGCACCTGCTATTATCTGAAATGGAAAACCATCTACTAAAACCATCACTTTCACACAGGCTTGTCCAAAACCACCACCAGCAGCCCATTCTGGAGGGTTCTGTGCAAGACTGCAGCCGTCCCAGAATGGGCAAAGCCTCTGCAGTGGGCTGAAGGGTGGGCCCCTAAAATTCATGCCCACATCCTAATCCTAGAACCTGTATTAATTTATATGGCAATGGGATTAAGTTAATGATCTAGAGATAGTGGGTTATCCAGGTTCTCCAGGTGGGTCCCAAATATAATCACACATCTTTATGAGAAGCAGCAGAGAGACTTTGGGGACAGACACAGAATAGGCAGTGATGTGAAAATAGAGGCAGAGATTTGAGCAATTTGGCTAAAAGATGAGGAACACCCAGGATTTCAGGCAGCCACCAGAAGCTAGGAGAGACGCGTAACAGATGAGGCTCTAGAACATCCGGAGGGACCCATCTGCTTCTGGACTTCCAGTCTCCAGAGCTGTGATAGCTGCTGATGGAAGCCATGGAGTTTGTGTTAATTTGTTACAGCAGCCGCAGGAAACTAATACACTCTCTGAATATGCAAACTGACTTGGTCAGGCCCCAACAGGTAGAAGTGATGAGTGGCTCAGAGACTGAGAGTTAGGGGCTCCTAGATGTTGTCTCGGGGTCTCATGGTACCAAAAACCCCACAGGTCTATTTTTCATGGATGCAACAAGAAGATGCTCAGTTTAAAACAAACTCTGGAGTGTTGAAGGGCAAGGGCTTGGGCTGCCATCTGGGAGACTGGAACCTGGACTGCTGAGAATGAGATAAGCTTGGGGGGAAAATTCCATATTAAGGTGTAAAGAAGATCCCTAAAGTATAACGAATGTTGGCGGGAGGGCAGTAAGTGGCTAGGTGAGCTATTATTTTGAATTTTAGAGATCTGCATGCTGGCTGATGGCAGAGGGACCGACCTTACCCTCACCTGGCTTTTTTCTTTTTGGCCTTTGTAACAAGAGCACTGGGTTAATTCCAACATGGCTGAAAGGATTATGGGGTACCTGAGACACCTTGGGAGTTCTGAGAACACAAAATTTGAGAGCATTGTGGAAACTTTCCATTCTCCTGCTTCCCGTAACACGGGTGTTGAGTTGGCCAACTCTGTTCATTCCTTCGACAAATATACATGGAGCACCCCCTACGCACCAGGCACTGAACCAGGACCCCAGTATATGGCAGTGAATGCAGAAGCCAGTCCTGCCTTCCTGGAGGGTCTCTCTGAGGAGTGCCTCTGTCCCCCAGGCAACATCTGGCAATGTATAGATACGCTTCTGGTTGTCATGACTGGGGAGGAGCTGCTGGCACCTAGTGGGGAGAGGCCAGGGATGCCAACATACTACAATGCACAGGACAGTCTCCCACCACTAAGAATTCTGCGACCCAAAATGCCAAAGGAACTGAGCATTGCCACATGACATGACAGTGGATGAAGGTATGAAAGGGGAGAACAGGAAGCTGTTAGGGCACCTGGAGACATTACCCACCTTCTATGGTCTCTGCAGAGACCAGAGGATGACCAGGAGTATTCAGGTGGGAAATGGGGAGTGGGCTGCAGGAACAGAGCTGAGCCTTCCGGGCAGAGGGAAACAGCATCTTTGAAAGTGGAAATGGAAAAATACTTTGAGGTAGCTGACCTCTCTCCCCCAGCTAGGGGGGGCAGTGATTGCGGGAGGCAGAGGAAGAGCAACGAGAAAAGCTTCAGGGCTGTCCCAGCGTGGTCTGGAGGACCACCTTGACGATGCAGGGCGGCACAGCTGTGTTAAGAGCGCAGGTCTCGAGTCAGAGACGACTTTCAATCCCCGCTCCGCCTCACATGCTATGTGACCTTGGACAAGACACAAACCCCGAGTGTCTAACCGGGGTTTCAGAACATAAAGCAGAGGGTGGAGGGGACCATAATCCCCCTCAGGTGGCGGTGTGGGATGAAATGAGAAGACACACAGGAGCAGCTCGGCATGCTCCGCACTGGCACTGCCACAAATAGATACTGTTCCTGTTTGTGTTTGCAAAGGTCACCCGGGGGGCAGTGTGCAAAATAAAATGGGGCAGGACAACCAGAATCACTCCTCCCTGGGAACACAGAGCTAAAAGGAAAAACAAAATACCGAGATTTCACAAAGCAAGAGCTAGCAGGTGCAGAGCAGGGCTTCGGACTGACTGCAAGGTCCTGATGACAACACTGTGTAACCTTACGTAACAACAGTGGCCACACGGTCGGCCTCCACACCCGCTGTAGTCACTCCTTTAAGGTTTGCTTGTCTTAGTAAGTGAACATCAACCGCATACATCGGTCCATCTTATTCGGCCTGAGAAACGAAGGCCACAGAAACCTCAGGAAGATCTTCATCGTGGCCTGAATGATGATAATGACCTCGCACCCTGGCCAAGGCAGAGCCTTGGGCCCCCAGACTCCTCCATACCAATCTCCAGGTAAACCGCCTGGATCCAATTTTCCAGACAGCTTCTTGCTCAAGTTGCTCACTGCCGGAGAAAGAAAAAGGGTTTTGAGTTGACACCCTGGCACCTCTGCTTGTGCACGACTCTTGGAAAGCACTTGATCCACATCAATGGTCCTTAAACGGGAACGATGCGGTTTCTCGTTTGTTAATCTTCACCTGAGGATATTTTTTCTATTGCTTTTTCAGAGACTGGCGGGCGGGGGGGGAACACATCGATATGAGAGACACATCAACTGGTTGCCTCCCACATGCCTCCTGACTGGGGACCGGGATCTAACCCACAACCCAGGTATGTGCCCTGGACTGGGAATCGAACCCGAGACCTTTTGGTACCCAGGCCGACGCTCTAACCACTGAGCCATGACGGCCAGGGCACAATGTGGTTTCTTAATTCCACTCCTGGTGAACTGTCTCACTGCCCGGAATTCGATCCCTTGGGCTCGACACCGTGAGTGGGACAACGAGGCTGCATCGGAGTGACGGCTTCACAGCCAGGAGAGTGGCACGTGGTCTGTAACTGTGCTTTGCTTTCAGAAATGAACTTACAGGGGACACAAGGTGCCCAACAGGCATGCCCAATAAGTGGGTGGGGGAGAACCAACCCTCTAAAGAGTTCAAGATCACGTCTGGGTATCTGAGCCCCGCCCGCCGCCCACGCCAGCCACGGGATCGCAGGTTCGGGCCGGCAGAGCCGGTTTCCCCGGAGATAAGATGCAAATCACAGACACACGTGACCAGCCTTCATGTGCACACACTAAGTTGCTTTTATTAATCCAGTACGGCATGCTACAGATACTGTACAGCATGAACATTTATTCATTACAAAAATGGCTTCCAAACCATTAGAAATGAAACTGGGATAAGAGCATAAAACGGAACAGTAACATCACAACTGTTAGGAAACATTCAAAGTATTCACAAAAAAAAAAAAAAAAAAAAAAA